CTCCTTGATCGTGTCGAAGATCATAGGAGTCTTCTCAAGAATACTGCGGGTAATCTATGATGAAATGAACACCCACATCTGATCATCCAAAATTCCGACTCCAAATACCGAACCTAAACCCTCACTAGCACTAGAACCACTACCAAATCCTCCTCGAGTGAACACCATACTAAAAATAGACCATTCAAAACATCAGAACACATAGATATATAAACATCAAGGAATCCCATACTCTACAAGCTTCCTAGTTTCATCGTGGCTTTCATTGATTCGAGTACAGATCCTCTGCTTCCAGTAGTACAGGCCCATACTACCTTCCATATCTATCCGTACTTTCCTCAAGGATCACCCCGAATCCTACAAGTTACTCCCTTATCTATACATATAAGCCTCAATAAGACAATGCTCCCAGCACCAAATCTCTTCCTAGGTTTTCTTAGGACAACGCCCACACTATTCTCCACCATCAGTTGTAGAAGGAACTCCCCCTAACGCCCTCTAACTAGCTCACGAATACAATTACATATCACCGACACCACATAGTTCTTCAAATGAAAGTTCTCACACTACAACGGTTGGACTTAAACAAGAGTTACGCAATAGAGTTAAAACCTAACCTTATAAAATTATTTAGTCTCAATAATATGTAACTTAGCATATTCGCTTAATAGTTATCTGAAGTTAATGGGAACTCCTGAAAGCACAACGTAAGCAACATTCGAGCATCGAGTAATCGGAAACAATCATAACCTAATCAGGTCATCCTATCACTGACTGATCAGTACTACCATGCAAGTCTACAAGTTCATATAGCAGTCATACAAATGCATCTCTCCTAGATCCTTAGCCCTTAACAAGCATGCGATTCATAGATTCACAATTCAAAGCATAAGCACAAAACATGTATGGGTATTTTGGGAAAACTTACTTAAGCTTGGTCGATTTCATGCACCACACCCCTTTCTTTTGTTAGAAAATTCTTTTTACAAAATATTCCTTTTTATGAAAAATCTACCAAATCCTCAGTTTGAGTTCAGACACACCCGAGGGTGTGTCTGAATCCCTCAAACCAAGGCTCTAATACCAACTTGTAACGTCCCAAAATTTAAGACCAAAAATTTCATTTTTATAATAATAAAACCATCATCCAAAACGTTTTCATAAAACCATAATGAAATCAAAGTATGTCAATAATCATCCAATGACATCAGAGTCAAATAAAATGTGAAACAATATGGTGTGTTGGATGCGATCATCCCGAGCTCTTCCCCTTCGATCTGGAAGTACCTGAAACATAAACTGAAAACAGTAAGCACGAAGCTTAGTGCGTTCCCCAAAATACCTCATACCATACATATCAAACATACAATGGGCCATGCCCAACAACCATCGGGCCCCGCCCGGCATCGAGCCCTGCTCGGAACAGATCTGTCAATAATCGCGTTCGTTAGGCCCTTCCTGGCATCAGGCTGGCGGACATTCATACTGACACATAAAACACATGCAAGAATCACTAAGACAAATAACATACAATACACTCATCAGTCCCTACCTAGCATCGGACCCCTCCCAGTATACATATTACATACTACACATGCAAGAGTCACACAGACAACTACCATCCTAATCATAATAAATAATGGACCGACATTGGTGCCTTCGACCCTCTAAACACTGGGAGGAGACTCACCCCAAACTACTAAAAATCAGATAAATGCTCGTACTGTTGATCCAGAAAGTCCCCGTACTAAATAATCAATAAAACACCAAATAAAAAATTATGCCATAAACCATAAATGGGAATCTATTTCACTTGTCCAACTCCTAGCCCAATAACCGAAGCCCAATTTAATGGCCCAAAATCCTAAATGATGACCAAAACCCCATAATGGGCCTAAATCCAGGGAGGCCCAAAGCCTAACAATGACCCAAAGTCAGAAGGTTAGTGGCCCAACAAGGCTTACAACTCTCAATATCCTTAAAACGGCCCAAACTGCATAGCCCATGGATCAGGCCTGGTACGCTGCGCGTACCAGACGTACGCCCTACGTACTAGGTCGCGTACATGGATCGGGGACTCGACAGTGTACGTGCAGCGTACGTGCCATTAAGCACTTTTTCCATTAAGTGCTTAGTTCTTGCACTAAACGTCCAAACTTCAGATCCAAGTCTATAGGAACGTCTTAATCCATAAAGTCATGAACTTGGAGCCTTTGTATGGCTCAAAAGAACCCAAAACTTACTTTAGCATTCTACTTTCATCAAAAGGACCTAAACACATGCATGGTTGATCCACAACCATCAAGATGTTAACTTTATGGACTAGGGACCTCAGAAACATCAAGAGAAGCAACTCCTAACTTCTACAGTGGAAGAAACTTACTAGATCTCATCATAGGACTATAAAAGGACCAAAACTTCATAAAGACTAGATCTAAGCATACAAGGAGCAAGTTCCAAGCTTTATACCTCAATGAAGCTAGAAATGGTGTGTGAAGTTTGGATCTACAAGCTCTCCTTTGATCAAGGCTCCTTCTTCCAAGCTCGTCTTCCTCAAATCTCACCAACACACACTAAAACACACACAAGAGGGTCAAATCTCCTTAAGAGGGGCTAGGGTTTCTAAATGGGACTCAAAAGGCTATAGAGGCTAAGAAATGAGAGGATCATGGGTCATTAAGTTGTTTAAATAGGGTAAAAACCCTAAAAATTAGGGTTTGTCCGCTGCATGTGTAGGCCCCGCGTACGAGAAGTACACCCCGCGTACTCCCAAGATTTCCAAAATTGGCAAAACTGCCCCCTAGGGACCAAATCTACAAAAATATTTACATACCAAGGGTTAAAAATGAAAGTACCTTGAATCGGGTGTTACAGAAAGAAAAGATTATAAATTCTGAGTTAAAAATAAAAAGACATGTTATGCCCTTAGACTCCCGAAGAAACTGCACCTACAGTTCGGGCACTTGATATTGACTGTGACATCGAGATTTATATTAGGGGTGTTTACGGGGCGGTTCGGTTCGGATAGTAAGAAAATTATGAACCATGAGCGCGGAGCGGGTACCTCACATGTACTAACCGAAACGGAACCGAATTGCTTAAAAAACGAACCGAACCGAATCGTATAAACACGGGTAACCACGGTTCGGTTCACGGATAACCGCTAAATGTGTACATTTAGTAAAACTATAAAATATATATAAATTAATTATATATTAAAAAATAATTGTTCAACCAGCGAGCGAATTAAATGTGATTTGCGATGTGTTGATGGTTAATTTTATGTGGATTTAGCCATATCATGAACTTGCAAGTAAATTACATGACTAGATTTGAAGAAATTTGGAAAAACTAATACGTCTCTGTTTTATTATTCAATATATATATATATATATATATATATATATATATATATATATATATATATATATATATGACGGTTCGGTTCGGGTATTCACGGATATCTAAATATAAAAACCGAAACCGACCCGTACATACCCGGTTTTTTCGGTTTCGGTTTTTTTCGGTTTCGGTTTTTGCGGTTTCGGATTGGCCGGATCGGCTCGTTTTTTCGGTTTTGCGGTTTTTTTGCACACCCCTAATTTATATTGTTGCCGGAGAAATATATGGTGGGAAAAGAATAGATATTTTTCAAGATGTGTATCCGAAACCAGTTGGTATTAAGAATCTTGAATTTTTTGTCTGTTATTGAAGAAAATATCAATTTTTTTGTTGTTAGCCTATTCTTATATATAAATAAAGGAGAATATAGTTATGTTGTTCTTCATTTAAGGTCTTTGCAACTTTTTTGGTCTGGTTCCAAGTCAAATGATTAAATTGCCCTTTTTTATATTTCTTTATAAATAATTGTCATTTAAAATTTTAGATAAGGTTAATATAGTCATTTAGTTGGAACAATCAGATGAAGGGTAATATAATCATTTTCTTCATGTTCAATGTAAAATAATTAAATTTCATTCTTTTTTGTAGTTATACGTTATCTAAATATAAATAAAATGCATTATATACAAGTTTTTCAAAACTAGAGTCTTTCATAATAGCATCCTGCTTTGAAAATCTATAATAAAAAAAAAGAGAGAGAGAGAGAGAGAGATTTTGATAGTTTTCCAAAGTCGGTTGTTATTTTCCACTTGAAATCATGTAAAGTGTATTTGGATAACATTGTCATAATTAGGTAGATTCTCTAAAGTACGATGTTGTAAAAGGAAGAAAATGGAAGATGTAGGGTGTTGTACTAAACTCATTATTAGGAGTGTGTGTGTTATTTTTTGCATTTAACCTCAACTTTGATATTCACTTGCTTCTTTGTTCAAATAACTACTCCATGTTTTTCATTATAGGTTCAACTACGTCAGAAGATGGTACATTCACATGTTCGAAACAAATAACAGACTTTTGCTTTTGCATATTATGACATTATACTTGTTTAATGTTTTTTATTCTTTTTCAAAGAAATTTTGGTGCAAAGCACGGCCCTTACACATTCCTAGTATATATATAGGTGAACATTAATTTACAAACCCTAGTATAACATAGCTGAACATTAATTTACAATGTTTGAGTGACAAATTACTGTCCCTCTTCTAAATCATATGAATTTGTTGTAAAAAAAACATTTTTTAAAGGCTTTTTTTTATAATAAAATATTTCAAAAACCATTTTAACTAAAAAAGTTTAATCTTATTTCGAAATCCATAGGTCAGTTTGTCGGTCTTCAGAAACCATTAAACTTGGAACTGATTGGTGAGGCTTTTTTTAGTGGCTTAATGTTTATGGATAAACATTAACTGCATTGAAACCTCCGGAAACTGAACGCCATTCAATGAGACGAGGAGGTACCTGGTGTGGGTGGACCATTTTGTTATCTTCCACTAAAATTGTCTCATCTTTCTGAATTTTCTCAGCCACAATTCTTACAATCTCCAAATCCATTTATATATTCCAATCATTCTAATCTTCTTCAACGATTCATCGATCAAATGGAAGATTCAACTACCCCAAAAGAAACTGATTCATCCAACAATTTCTTCAATTTCCTCAGCTCTGATTTAACCGAACTCATCTTAGCTCGCCTCCCAGTTCGTTCAATCATCCGTTGCTCCGCCGTATGCAAGCTATGGCACTCGATCATCACCGCCCCATTGTTCTCCGCCTCCGCTGCAGCACCCCCCTGGTTCTTCCTCTACGGCCAAAACAACATTTTCGTGAAAAACAATCAAGCGTTCGCATTCGACCCTGATTCGAACGAGTGGATCAAGCTCCCCACAACTCTGTTTCCCGTTTCAATTTCGCAGGAATCATCCTTCATCGGTTCCGGTGGGTTTTTCTTCAACACCACTGCTAATAATTTCAGTTTTGCCCCAATTTTAATACCCTCATGGCGAGAAACAACACCTCTGAAATTCTCCCGTTTAAACCCTCTGGTAGGTGTTATCAGTTCTGAGTTTTCATCGAATTCGAATCAAAACAATCTGTTTGAACATAATTTGAATTTGCCCAAGATTATTGTTGTGGGTGGTGTTAGATTCATTGGTGGTTTGGTTGATATTGAAGATAATTTAGCGGTTGAAATTTATAATCCAACTTTAGATTCGTGGGATCTTTGTCCACCGTTGCCAGCGGATTTCCGGTCAGGCAACTCTTCACAATCACTGTCTTCCGCTTTTTTCAAATCGAAATTCTACGTATTCGGTATACATTCATGTTTCATTTCATCCTTCGATTTAAACAATCGAGTTTGGAGTGAAGTTCAAACACTCCGCCCACCAGGTGTGATCACATCATTCCTAATATCTTGCCGGAATCAGCTTATGTTGGCCGGATTATGCAACAATCCTCATGGACCTTCGTTTAATCTATGGAGAATTGACGAATTAACAATGGAGTTTAGTGAAGTTGCGATTATGCCTCCTGATATGCTCAACTGTTTGTTTGATAGCGATGAAGATGATAGATTTGCCAGCTTGAAATGTGTTGGAGTTGGGAAATATATATTTGTGTTTAACGAAGAACATCGCCGGAATTACCCTGCTTGTGTATGTGAAATTAGCTCTGATTCCAAGCAGTGTAGATGGAGGAGGATCCCTGATTTGCCTGAACCGGTGAATAGGTTTCATAAGGTCATCAGTTTTTGCTCAACTATTTCACTTCGCTGGATTCTTGATGGTGAAGTTGCTTAGAATATATTTTATTTTTATTTTTACGTTATATATGGGATAAAATAACTGAGTAGATAAAAATGCTGTATAAGCAATACTCAAAATAACTAAATACCCATTATTAGCATTTAATCTATGTTTAGTGTCTAAATCCGATCAATGCATGTTTCAATGCTTTTGGTCCAATCCGATCAATACATGTTTGACAATCGTGATCATACAGATTTAAGAAAATGCTAACCACATCAGTTACTAAACCCTAAGAAGCTGCGTTTTTTCAGTTCACAACGAGACCTATATCAAATTAGCATAAAAGAAACAATCTAAGTCACCAAGTGTAACGATTCAAAATCAGCAAAAAAAACAATAAACAACAATCTAAGTGCAAATGAACACATGGACCTGAATATTTTGATATTTATATGTCTCATACTCTCATTTTCATTAACAACAATCTAGGTACTTAAATCATCCGTTATACCAACTACTAACCATTATAATGGTGAGTGTCAACTCATCCACATTTAACCCCTAAAAGGTTGGGATACTCACCAATATATCTCTCTTATTTTTTTTTATTAAAATAAAAAGATATATATTTTTTTATTAATTAAAATGTAGAGAGATGGAGAAAGGTAGAGAGAGATAGAGAGAATTAGAGAGAGAAAGAAATTGATTGGGTGTGGTGGTCTGCGCTCCCCACCACATTTTACCATGAAAATGCTCCACCACAAACACATGGGATGGTGTTCACATTTGTGGTTAGTGGCTACATAGACCACGAACTATTTCGTGATAAGCATACCAGATGATCTAATAGATTACAATGAATGTTCTTATATTAATACCAATACTGAAATATAAAAACTATATCAAACATATATAAGGAAAGTGAGAATAATATCACATACTAATGTAATATTATCTAATAATTTTGAGATATTTTATGACAAGTAGATCAAATATCATTAAAACTCAGTATAATTGCAGCATGATAAAAAATAAGGATTATATACATACTCAATATAAAAGCTATATCAAGCATATATAAGGAAACTAAGAATAATATCATATATTAATGTAATATTATCTAATAATTTTGAGATATTTTATGACAAGTAGATCAAATATCATTAAAACCCAGTATAAATAAGGATTATATATATATATATATATATATATATATATATATATATATATATATATATATATATATATATATATATAAGGAAAGTGAGAATAATATCAGTATAGTTGTAGTATGATAAAAAAATAAAGATAATGTCATCAAAGCACTGAAATTTCATATTATTTTAATTAGCTATATTAAATTATGTTTTAAAAATTCAGTTTAATTTTAGTTCTATTATAATTAAACTTTGTTATTATTTGTTTCATTTCTATAAAACTTTGACATCAAATTTTATGACATATTGTTCCAACATGCGGATTTAAAGTATAATGAGGATATGCAATGTAATAAGAATATGCAATTACATATTTTTGAATTTTTACGATAAGTTGCAGAAATAAAATATAATAACTAATATTGTTGGAAATAGTATTCAAGGTCATTAATTATTGGTAATATTTCTAAATAATAACAAAATTATTTTGGGTTGCCCTCAAGACACAAATGATGAATTAAAAGAAATAGACATAAGAAGAAAATAAGTTTATTAATCTACTATGTTTAATAAATTAATTAGACGCTATTTTAGAATTAATTAGGAATTAGCTAATTCTAAAGGTTGAATATTAATTAGTTAAAATATTGACTAAGTGAAATATTCTTGAACCCTTAAAGGTTAGAAGGATTCGAAATTCTCCATCTCATATTGGATGGGAGAAGATATCTTCATCATGGGATGAAAGATAAAACTTGGCAAGAGCTTTAAGGTTATAAATAAGGTGCTAGGGGTTTCATTTCTCCTTGCACCGAGGTTTGAAATTTTCACCAACTTCTTCCATTTCATTCTATGGGACAAATTTCTTAACTCTTCCTAGGGTTTGAAGAAATTCGATCCTCCCCTGGTTCTTTTGGTTCTCTCTTTGGAGTTATTGGGTGTGATTCCATTAAAGGGATTCTACTTTGGTTCCTCTCATCCAAGAAACATGGTTGGATCAAGAAGGGATAAGAAAGGTTCGAGAAGATCAAGATCGAACTACACAAGAGGTTAATATATGTCTTTCTTAATAGATTTACAATTTTAAAATAGGTTGTTATAACTAGTAAAACCTAGATCCTAGGATGCATGTATACTTAGGTAAATTTTGATTGTTTCCGTTGTCTTGTTAGAATGTATTGATGCGTAGAAAACCCAACAAACATTACATATACTCACCAAAATATTTCATACCCTGCAAATAGGTCGTCGTGACCTGCAAGGATAACATTAAGATGCACTGAACTTCTTTATCTTCAAAAAATATAATTTGTATATTAGAAAAATCACATTTCTAGTTTTTGACCGGACAACCAGCCACCATCTCACTAATCTTCTAAAAGATTATGAAAAAACAAAGTTAATACCTAAAAAACCAAAACCCTTAATAAAACTTAATCCCGGGAAAATATCATGAGTTTCTCTTTCATCTCATCCTCTTTGTTAGACGCGTGAGTATCAGGTCGTCTGGTTGTTTGAGTGTCTTATCTAATATGCATAAATGGTTTGTCTATAGGTTTTCCATGCACAGAATGAGATGAAAAAAATAAGACCCCTTTGTTGTACCATATGATAGACCAAACACATAAGTAAATATTTTCTATCAATATCATATTTATCACCATTTGTCGAAGAATTTCTAGGTTCAAACATTTTTTTAGTTTGTCATCAAATAGAGAAACTAACCCTCATCCATCACACAAAACCCCTAAAATAGATTCAAAATATTTTATTTTCTCAAATCTAATTTTCAATTCAGTAAGAGTCATATTCACTAGAACGATAAAATAATCAATCCAAATATTTCTTAAGAACATTTGTGTTCTCTTTTAGTTTTTGAAGTTTCATCAACATTAGCCTATTAAGATTGTATCTTAAAAGGATCATCGGGTGATGAAGATTCTAACAATTCCCAAGTGATTGTTGTCTATGAAAGAGAACATGTTAATCAATTATTTAACAATTTCAAAAGTTATTGTTGTATATGGGCAGTTTGACAGAGAAGGACAATTGGGTAGTGAAGGACAATTTGGTGGTGAGGGGCAGTCTAATGGCGAAGGTCCGGTGAAAATGATGAGGCTAAGAAAGGTGATAAAGTTGTGGTGATAGATAGTAGAGTAAGATAGCTATTGGTGGAGGTACTTTTTTCGTTAATGTTATCCTATAAGTTATGAAAATAATAGCCCCATGTGTTCGGTTGTTGTATTGTATGCTTATGCAATTCCATGTAAGGATATGTATCTTATGAATCATAAATAATGACTCATGTTTTGGTTTCCTTAAGATAATGTTGGGCCAGTTTATGTTTTTTCGAATATTTGTTTGTGTTTTATAAGTTTGTAATGAATGGTATAATTTGTGTTTTGAGGTTAACTATGAAATTACAATAACTATCTTTTGTAATACATAATAAGAGTTCAAAAAGATATCTTTATTTACACGCCATTGTGTGCATTTGTTTCTATGGACACTATAGGTTCATGTATAGACAAATTCACAATTGTGTGTATGGTTTGAGTTCACCATATTAATCAAGTTTCAATTTCTTGGTTTTAGTAAATAACACATGATCATGCTTGTCTTCATTTGTAGATTTCTACATGATTTTTCTTTGGATTTGGTTTTTGTTTGAATTTGGACATTGGTGGTGGTACTGAACCAAAATGTTCTTAATCTTAAAGAGGGAAATAGATGTTTTATATGAAAAAAAAAAACCCAAAATACTCTCATGTACAAGGCACATGAGAGCTCTTAATGGTTCTATTAAGGAGTTGGTTTGAATTTGTTGGTTTATCTTCTACGACTATGTAAATGGTTCCACCATCTTGCAAAATGGCCATACCAAAAACTAAATTACTCCAATTTTATTTTTTATTTTTTATATATAAATCGGTTCAACCCGTCAAACCAAATCTCTTTGTAGCGGTTTTACAGGTACAATCAATATCAATATCAATAAATATAAACCAAGATGAGTCGTTTCACCAGGATTTCATGCCTTAAATTGGTCAAACCGAAGCTTAAACCCAAATTCAAACCCAAGACTCGCAACCAGATCTTAATTCTTCTATTACAGTCGTTTACCTTATGCCAAGGCAATGGGGTAGACAAGTCTATTCAGATGGAGCTTAACCTATTCATATAGAGAAAAGTCATAAAGGTATCTGGTCGAAATTGCGTCCAGATTCATTCGCTTCCCCATCCCCACCTCCCTTCCTATATGATAATTCATAATTTTCTGTATTTTTCTCGAGAGAAAGAGAGAGATGGAAACAAGTTGCAGAAAGAAAGAAGAAGACGGTTTTCATGTTCTTCATAAAGTTCCTTCTGGAGATGGTCCATATGTTAAAGCTAAACACACTCAGGTTCTTCTTCTCCGCATATATACTTCATACAGAAATCTGAAAAACACAAACATTCATCGTAACTGTTAAATTATATAGATTCAACTCGTTTTTGGAATCCTTTTGAGTTGTGATTTTTATTTCGAACGAGCAAAATTGAAGGATCGGATTTCGAAAATGATCAAATATCCCGCTGAATCTGAGGAAATTGATCCTCAGTTCATGAAAAATCGCTTGTTTGATATAGTACTCATGTACAGTATGTATTTCAATTGTGTCGATCCAACTATGCTCAATTAACTTGAAGAACCGTTTTAATCAAACGATCAAATCATGTTGAGAGCTGAACTTGAGGAAAAATCCATAGTATATGAAAAATAACTTGTTCCATAATCACAGTTTTGTCATGTTGAATACATTTTTAACATTAATTTCCCGATTCGAGAAATGATCGTTTTGACCTTAGTTACATGGCTTTTAGCAATCCTTTTCCACCCGATATTATTTTCTT